GGGAGCGGAGCGGGCCGGGGCCGCGCGGTGCCGCCGGGCCCGCGCTCCGCACAGCCGCCGCCCGCCGCAAGCTGGATTGCCGGAGCCCCTCGCCATGCCCGGCGCGCTGTAGGTGCTTCATGGAGCAAGCCAACTTCTACGAGGTGGAGTCGCGGCCCCCGCTGAGCAGCGGCCAGCACGCGCAGCTCCAGAGCCCCGCGCCCGGCAGCGCCTACAGCTACAGAGAGGCCCCCTCGGCCGCGGCACCTGCTGCGGGCGGCGCGGAGCTCGGCGACATCTGCGAGAACGAGAACTCCATCGACATCAGCGCCTACATCGACCCGGCCGCCTTCAACGACGAGTTCCTGGCCGACCTCTTCCAGCACAGCAAGCAGCAGGAGAAAGCCAAGGCCATCCTGGCCGGGGATTTCGACTTCCACAGCATGCATGGGGCGGGCGCCGCCGCCTCGGCGCCGGGCCACCCGCCGCAGCACCCGCAGCAGCCGCTCTTCGGCTGCATGGCCGGCTACATGGACGGCAAGCTGGACCCGCTCTACGAGCGCATCGCGGCGCCCGGCCTGCGGCCGCTCGTGATCAAGCAGGAGCCGCGCGAGGAGGAGGAGGTCAAGGCGGCGGCGCTCTCGGCCCTCTACCCCCACCACGCGCCGCCGCAGCACCCGTCGCACCTGCAGTACCAGATCGCGCACTGCGCGCAGACCACCATGCACCTCCAGCCCGGGCACCCCACGCCGCCGCCCACGCCCGTGCCCAGCCCGCACCACCCGCACCCGCCCGGCGCGCTGCCCGCCGCCGCCGGCGCCCTCAAGATGCTGCCCGCCGACCACCGCGGCAAATCCAAAAAGACAGTGGACAAGAACAGCAACGAGTACCGCGTGCGCCGCGAGCGCAACAACATCGCGGTGCGCAAGAGCCGCGACAAGGCGAAGCAGCGCAACGTGGAGACGCAGCAGAAGGTGCTCGAGCTCACCACCGACAACGAGCGGCTGCGCAAGCGGGTGGAGCAGCTCAGCCGCGAGCTCGAGACTCTGCGCGGCATCTTCCGGCAGCTGCCCGAGAGCTCCCTGGTCAAGGCCATGGGCAGCTGCGCCTAGAGCCGCGGCCGCTCCGCGCTCGGACTCCCCTCCCGGCCCGGAGCGCCGCGCTCCGCCTCCCCTCTTCCAGTATTGCTTTTTTTTTTTCCTTTTTATTTTTGTTTGTTTGGAACAATTAACGACCAATCAAAGAAGCCAGGCAGCTCTAGTAGTATTACGAGTTTTGTGCCTTAGGGGGTGACACACGAATAAGCTGAAAAAACGTGGTGGGTTTTGTAAGGAGCAAGGCGAAGGGAAGGAGGAGAAGAAGAAAAAAAAAAAGCCCACGTGTCTACACAGGGTAAATAATAATAATACTAATAACAAAGCACACATTGCAAACCACGTTGTGCCTTAAAAGCTGCAGGAGCTCGGGGCTCTCTGCCCCGCACAGCCTGGCCGGGCTGGCACAGGACGGTCCCGCTGGCCAAGCCGGGGCCATCGCGGGCGCAGGCGGCGGGTGCCCAGCGCGGACCTCGGTGTTCGGAGCACCGAGGCACGGGAGAGGCTGCGCCCAGGACTGTCCCGCACCAGCTCCGCGACCCCCGCAGCTCCCCCCGGCCACGGGCAGCCCAGGACTGCGGCTCGCGGGGGAGCAGCGCGGTGCCGCCTCCCGCAAGCCCAGAGCAGCGGTGTCTTGTACTGTATGTCGTGACATGGCGAAGCACAAATGAATAAATACCTATCGATGCGGGTATTTACTATGAACTTCCAGTGTATTTTGCTTTATTCCAGGACATCCAGCTCCTCTCCAAGTCTCTGTCTGTCCGAGCTGTGCCTCATGTAATGTGAAAGCCTTTCCGTGTATACTAGCTACACTCTTATTTTTATTGCATTACTTAGATTTTTGCCATCACACAACTTTCTTATCTGGTGACAGAGACTGTGCCCTTGTGCTGCAACGTTATTTTATTATTTGTGCGGGTGGGTGGGTGGGTGGGTGGCTGCGAGTGAGCGTGTGGCCTTCCCGGTGGGGCCGGGCTGGCCCCGGTGCCGGCGCGGGCCGGGCCGCAGGCCCCGCGCGGCGCCGGCACCTTTGGACTCTGGAGCTTCCCCCGGCAGAGAGAGGCAAATAAACAGCGCGCGCGTCGCCTTCCAGCGAGCGCCGGGGCCGAGCGGTGCCTTTCTGCCCGATGCTGCAGCTGCACAGTCCTACGGGCAGTCCGGAGCGGTCCGGACGGGCGAGAAGGTGGAGCTGTTGGAGGCGTGAGTGGCGCGGGGGGCAGCGCGGCGTGCGTGTGCGAGGCGTGCGTGCGTGCGTGTGGGCTGTACACCTATATGTGGATGCGCACCTATATGTGGATGCACACACACTGGTGGTTTGGTTTTATTTTTTTTTTTTTTAATGGGGGGGTATGAACTGCATATAAATGTTGTGGAAGCGCTGGTTACATTCATAAATAAAGTGCATATTCTCTACCGCGACCTCCGCCTCCCGCTCTGCTTCCAGCTCCTGCGGGGCTCCCGCTCCGCCCGCCCCGGCTCCCGCTGCGGCGGCGCCGCCTCCGCGCTCCGCGCGCGCCCGGGCGGCTCCGGGGGCTGCGGCCGGGCCGGGCGCGGCCTGGGGGCCGGGGCCAGCGGCCATAGGGCGAGCGGGGCCCGCCCGCCGCTCCCGACGGGGGCTCGGTCCGGAGCGGCCTCGGCCCGGCCCGGCCCGGCTCTGCCCCGGCCCCGCGGGCCTGGGCTGCCGAACGTAACGCGCACGCCGTGGGGCTCCGCACCCGTGTCCTGCGTGGGGTCCCGCCGGCCACGTGGCAGCTCTGCGTTGGGGAGTGTGTCCCCGCACGGCGCCAGGCAGAGCCTGGACAAGCCCAAAAGGCAGCGCTGACACCTGCGCTGTTGGCACCCGGGCGGTAAGTGCACCCCTGTCCTCAGCAAAGCCGCCCAGCCTGGGCCCGCGGGCTGTGCCGGGTCAGGCCCCTCTCCAGCCTTGCTGTGCCGAGGCTGGAGGCGCGTCCCACTCCTGCACAACTGGGACCAAGGGTGCGGGGGGATCAGCCCCTGCACCCTGCCACGGTGCCTGGGGTGCTCCTGATGTGGGGCAGCTGACCCAGGATTGCAGGTTCTAGTTTGTAGATTTTTTTCTTTTATTTTCTTCACCTCTTCCACCCCCAGGTGCTATGTAAGGTGCTGTGAGGGCAGCCCCCGCTACCACAAGCGAAGCCGTCGGCTGCTGCATTTGGGCGTGCAGAGCACGGGCTGCCCGCGTCCCGGGGACGATGACTTTGCCAGCGGAGCAGCGCTGTCCTCTGCCTGCGCAGCCCCTGTGCAGGGGCGGCTGCGCCTGCCCTCTCTGCGACGGTGCCGCCTTTGCGAGCAACGGGCACGAGCTCAGGTAGCGCCTGGCGCAGCGGCCGCTCGCGCTCCACGCCGGCTCCCTGCTGTGGGGGTGACCTCACGAGCTGTGCGGGGACATTTGCCTGGGTTATGGCCGTGGAGGAGGCCGTGTGTGACCTCCCAAACCCCGTCCGTGCAGTGGCCTGTGAGCCCGGCTGCTCAGTGGTGTTTGCGCACACATTAGGAGTAGCCGGACAGTGGAATGGCTTTTGGGGACATCTTCTGGTTCTGCTGCGGTGCTCCCAGCATCTGCCCGTCGCGCTGCAACGTGACAAGCACCGTGGTGCAGCGCTCCTGTCTAGGCTGGCCCTGCCCGCTCCCCAGGGGCTCAGGTGTTCGGGCCACACGGGGCCTCACGGGCGCGGGGCGGACGGGAGGTGCCGCCTGCCGCACTGCGCGGTCAGAGTTGAGACGTCGCGCGCGACCGCAGCCCGTCCTCAGCCAGGAGCGGCCGCAGGGAGGGACGCGAGCGTTTCTCAGGGATTTTGTGTGTCTTTTTCTCCCTGTTCTAACAGAAGGACCGCCAAGGAGCCTGCATTGTTGCCTGCCGCAGGTGGCTGGAAGATGGGACACGGCTCTTGCAGCGCTTTGCGCCGACGTCCTCCCCGAAGGCAGGTGCAGGAAGGTGCTTCTTGCTAGCAGGAAAGAGGCGCCCCGGCGCTGCACTCGTGCTGGTTTGAGCCCACGTCTGCTGCGAACGCTGGCGAGTGTCTGGTCGATTAAAGGAACGGGCCCGTGGCTCTCAGGTGGTAGAACAGTAAGGCAAAATAGTGTTGACCAAGTGAGGTGACGGCTCTGGTTCTGAGCTTCCCTTTCTTCCACAGTAATGAAATCCTTGTTTGTATGTATGGAATTACACACACACATGTCACTTGCATGGAGATGTCTGTGCTTCAGTGCGAGTTCCTCTGCCACATCTGAGGCATTTTAAAGCAAAGGCAGCACTCAGTGGCAACAGATGTATCACAATGAACTTCAGAAAGACTGGAAAATCTGTTCAAATAATTCCTTCTAATCTGCATTACATTATCATTATATATATTTGATTTTCATTGTTCTTATGGTGGTGTTTAGTATCCAGATTAGACCAGGACCTAATGGATCTGAAGAGGGAAAGACCTTTTCCCGAAGAGTTTACCATTTCTGTGGAAGATCAACAGGTGGTTGTAATGTATTGAACACTTGTATATTCAGAGGAACCCAGCTGTGTGTAGGTAAACTGAAATAAAAATCAGCAGCTCTTTGGAATAAAGCTTTATTATGTCAAGGCCATTATCAGGTTTCTGGTTGAGCCTGGTAGGGTAGAGGTAATGCATTTACGCTATATTGCCTGCTCCTTGGTTTGGTGGAGCTCCACAAAATCTCACTCAATGCAGGAACAATAGCCCCATGTCTTAAGAGATATATGGATAGATCATCAGATGGAAAGGAGCCTTCACACAAAGGAATCTGATTCACTTTCAATATTTAAGTGTATTTTGCTTAATTTAACACCATCCTGTTTTACTGCAGTATTGCATCCTGCCTCTCAAATTAATAGTTAACCACTGAGAAAGACAGGTCTGGCAGAATGGAAATCAGGCATTATATTATCCTATGAGTCATGTACATACAGAGAACCAAACAAGTGTCAGCCAATGGCTCTGAGCCCAAAATATGTCAAAGAGGAGATGCATATCTTTCTATATATTAAGTAGATAGAAAGCTTGTTGCTGTTCCCATTAAACAGGTTGGAGTTCTGCCACTGGCTGCAGTGGGAACAGAATTGGGCCCATGCTGCAGACCCTGCCTTTGGCTACCTGCATTTTTGGTGTAGCAGGGGACAGATGAGGTTCTAGCAGTTGTTCCCTATCAACAGGGATGTAATATCTTCCCTCGTGTGCGTGTTTCAGGTGTTCCTCCTTAGCCTAGCACTGTGATCATTGGGTTTCTCCCTCGGAGCTGGGCTGCCGGGTCGGAGGCAGCGGGGGAGGTTTTGCTGGTTGCGGCTTCGCGAGCGGCAGGGACGAGTGGCTGCAGCGGGGCATTCGTGCAGCATCTGTTCTGAGCGGTGTTCTTGTGATTTCTGATGATTTACGTGATGCAAGAGAACTACCTTTAGGAGCTAGCTTCTCTTCAGGCATTCAACCCACTTTTTTTCTGTCAAAATCTAGGGATTTGGGGGACTGAATAAATGCCTCAAAGTGGTTCAGAGCATCCTTGAATACCAGGGTGCTTTTGTATGTTGATTTTTCTCACTCCAGGTTTCCCCTCCGCTGTTTTAATACACATGGTTGTAGATGAGCTTCAAGAACCAAGTAAATTTTGGGCTTTGGATACTGCTTGGATCCCCGGCATGGTTCGTGCTGTGGTGCGGGGGGAGAGGAGGTGGCTCTGCCACTACCAGTAAGTAGAGCCCGGCAGGGACGGCGGGATAGGGCCCGGTGCCAAACCTGCTGCTCTTAGCTCAGTGTCACATAGCACTCCCATACAAGCATGTTGTGTTCCCTCTCGCACACGCATTTTATTTCCATCAGCTTGTCATTTATACACTAGATTTTGACTCTCTTCAGTGCAACAGAATCCAGTTTCCTGCAGAGAACGGAGGACTAGGGGATCATGTTCACTTTGTAAAAGTTACTTTAATATTTTTGTTCCTTTGCCAGTTCAGTTAAAATGTTGCTGACAGGCTGAAATTGAGTATTTGTGGTTGATTTATGTTTTTGCAAAATGGCATTTAGATGTTTTTTCTTCATCAAAAACACAACCAGGAAGGCTATGGACAAGTGCCCTTGCTTTGCTCCATCAGCCACCCTCCTGTATTGGCTTGTGAATGTCCCAGGAATGGGACCACTCGAGTTCTCCTACCAAACCTTTCGTGACCTACCTTATTATGGGTTACAGACCTCCACCTGTTTCAGAAGGGGACTTGCTCTTGCCTGCAATAGAAATAGGATTTGATTCCCTAGACTGCAGTTTAAAAGCACCGCTGTATGGCTTGGCTTGCTAAGTGAAGAAGGTGTAAGTCCATTGGCAACATTTATTTTAAAAAGTCAATGTATGATTACCACATGAAAGCATCAAGTTCTTATTTTTTAAGTGAATGTATAGGTTAATGCAAATAAATAAAGCTCTAGGTATACAGCTTTATGTTTGCACTGTGAGCAATAACATTTGCAAATATCACATCAGGTATTCTGAGCTGATAAAAGCAATTTAAAAGGTGGCCTTTGCAAAGGAAAATTCCTAATGAATATATCGTGAGACCTGGTTTATAGAGTGGCCAAAGAATGTCATTCATATTTTTCATTTACTTTTGTATAAATCATTTTGTAATTTGATTACCAAGTGGCGTAAGCAGTCTGACTTTTTCAGCTATGAGTAATACTGCTGTAACATTTTTGAACTATTCTTCTTGTATGGATTAAATCCTTAGAATTTTAAGCAGTGACAGATGTTTCCTGACGTTCCTGGTGTATGTACTTGGTTCAGTAGCTGGACATGTTCCTCAGTGCTGTGTCAATGACCTGAATTATTCCTGCAAGAGTTCAAGAGCAACAGACTGAAGGAGTTTCATGTATTTAATGCACTGAGTGAAATTTGCTTTTTCCCTTTGATTTGCCAAAAGGAGATGATTTCAAATAATGCAGACATGTTGGGACTTATCTAACCGTATGTATTTTGGTATTTGTATTTTATTTCTTGCTTATAACAGAAGAATATTTTGTAAGGGCTTGGGCACTTCTGATGCCTTCTGCAAGGCCCAAATTACAGATCTATTTTCACTGATTTATTTCACCAGGTCTCATGAGTTGGCTTGTAGAGAACTTCCCGGAAGGACCCTAGTTGTGACCACCTTCTTTCTTGGGTTCCTGCTGCTGGGAGGAGGTTCTTGTACTGATGTGGAAACTGGGCTGAGCAGAGGACCCTGTGAGGCTGCACCACGAGCCTAGCAGGGCCTTCTGCCGGGCTGCCACGCGTGCACAACAGCCTCGAATGACACCTAAGGGAGCAGCCCTTGACACCTAAGGGACCAAGGGTGCCCTTGGTCCGTGCGGGGCCACCATGCAGCTCGGTGCAGGCTGCCCTGGAAAGCTGTTGAGCAGCCGCTGTTCAAGGCACTGGCACTCGAGCAGGTTTCCAACCAGAACCAGGGGGTGTGTGTGTGCTCGGCGGGTAGACGTGCTGAGGCTACTTTATTTTTTTAGCTTTCATGCTGTATAACATAATCTGTTTATTTAGGAAAGCATATTTTTGCCCCAGTCAGAGTCATTTCCCGTGAAACGCGGAGTGCTCCTGCTGGAGGACTGCTGGGTTTTGTGAAATACGAGAGCAGCAAGAAAAGCTTCAGAAAATTTTGCAGCAGAGGGGAATCCTCCTCTTCCTTTTGGTCCATCCCCAGTGTCCCACCTGGGAATGTGCGTTCCAGTGCAGAGAGGGAGAAGAGCGCAAATGTAGGGTGTACATTTCTGGGCACCCTTTTGAATGTACAATATAGATTAAATCCTCCCACTGGAAGAGGAAACCCACAGATGCAAGTTAACCAGCCAGTAGCCTTTGCACTAGCAAGTAACACAAAGCTGGCAAATAAGCTTTTAGGGAAAATTAGAGTCATTCTGAGGTTTAAAATGCAGAAATTACTTCTGATATTGCCATCTTACAGTGATCAACTTGCACCGTAGGCAGCTGTGATTCGCAGTGGTGCATTTGCATGGCTGCATGTGTACATTGCAGCTAATCAGCATATGTTATTGCTGCAGCAATAGCAAAATTATTTGTACATGCTGAAAACCTGGCACATCATTGCATATATATATATATATATATATATATATATGACATGCGTTGAGACTCTTCTGATTTGGATAAACGTAATTTTTCAGGTAGAGTTTGCATTCTGATTCAAACACAGGCTGAAGGATCAAAGATTTTCAAGCCAAATTATGTTGTACTTTTGCACTTTGGGGACGAAAATGTGTAGGCTATACTAGAGTTCCTTTAAAAATGAGCTTCAGTTTTCATGTGTAACTACAACAGTACAGTCTATAATCTTCTGGCACTTATGATTTGTAGACCTTTACAATTTCAGTAATTTTACATGGTAATAAATGGTTCATAGGCAGCTCTCTCCTCCCAGCCAAAACAATAATAATAGAGACTGAGAAATCAGGAGCCTTTGAAAAATGAGGGAATAATAAATGAGTGGATCTTTCCCACTCCTTTACTTTTATGCATTTGAGTTATGTTTTGAAGCTATGATTTTGCTTTTTAATAAAAAAAAAAAAATACTAATTTTCAGGAGCTGAGGAGAACATTTGCCTCGCGAAGTGTGATCAGGTCCTGAGGTGGGAATATTGCTGCGGATCGCCCCGCTCCCGGCGCGGAGCCGATGTGGCGATGCTCCCGCTGCTCCCGGAGCTGCTCCGACGCCTCCGGGAGGGTCGGCAGCAGTTTGTGTGTGTGAGCCAGGTAAGTGAGCCCGGTGCTTCCCAGCGGGAAGTTTGGAGTTTGTTTGGAGGTGCAGGGAGGCTGTGGCCCTCGGAGAGCGGGTGCCTGCAGCAGGCAGCCTCCCAAGGCGCAGGCAGGGCAACAAGCCTGGGCCACCTTAACTGGGAAAGGGTGACTCAGCTCTTTCTGCAAAGACTGGAGTTTCAGCAGAATATTTTTTCCGCTATGCTGACAGCTTTTCCACCCACGTATTGCAAGCATGGCTGTGTGCCATAGAGGTATTTTAGGATTGTAAAGCCTAGTGTAAGGTTTTAAAGATGTTATGTATTTAAAAAAAAAAAAAAAAAAAAAAAAAAAAAAGGTGAGTTCTACAGCTTCAAATGTATGGGGTGTGTGCAGCGTGCGGGAGCAGGAGATCTCTGAAAAGCAAAGTTTGAGGGAGGTTTATCCCCATCTATCATTTAGCTGGTTCTATTTGTTCTCCTGAAACCCAGTCAGTGATGCTTTGAGACCACCTGTATCCTACAGAAACAGGGATCCTCCATACTCTCCCAGAAGTCTTAGCATTGTTTTAGGAGCAGAGTTAGACTGTTATATTCTTGGTAGATATTTTTCTTTTCTTGATCCTCTTGTTGCAAGGCATTTCCAAATCCTGCAGGGAAAAATGAAGTGCAGAGAGATACATGGGGAATTAAACCTAATAAAATACAAAAGGTTTCTTAATCTGTCAAGTGCACTGCAATATTGAGTGAGT